AAAAAAAAAAAAAAAAAGTCAGGTTAAAAAGTAGTCAGATTATGGTTGGTTCTTTGAGGAATGGGTCAAGGAGGCCCAAAGAAGAGGGTTTCATGGGAAGCCAGTTGTCCTGGCTCCTCCAAGGGTGCATGCTAGCCTAGGCGGGACAGGAGGAGCCACCCCAGGGCCTGTGCCCCAATTAATTCTCATTAAGGATAATCACATTGCAGATCCTAAGATGGGCCTAGAGCCAGGGCCTGGGCAGAGTCACAGAACTCCACAGGGCTCTCCCAGCCTTTGATCACGCTGGCAAAGGGAAGAAGCAGCTGCCATTGACCCGGCTCTGATACCCTGTCCTCCTGGGCTTTCTCAGTGGGGGTGGGCCAGGGCTGGAGGGGCAGCTGACTGCTAAGGCACAGAAAACCAAACTCTTCCCTCTGGCTGTCTGCAGGCAAGTCGGTGGGACCAGGAGTTCAGCAGTTTGTGCCTTCTCTCTCTTGAACATTGAGAATGTCTTTAAGGGGAAGTATAAGGAGTTGAACAAAGAAACTTCACGCTGGACTACTTACAGGGGCAGTGAAACAAATCCCCGGCCAGGCAGTGTAAGTATTAGCTCCACACCTGCCAGACCCTCCTAACATGCACAATGTGTGTAAAAGCTTCTGTCCCCACTTGTTAAATAGTGAGATCTCCTGTGCTCCCATTTGCCTAGTGCTGTCTGCTCAGGCACACACCTGGCCTGGCCATATCCCACAAGTGTCTGGTGTCTTGCTACCCCACAGTGGTTGCAGGGCTGCTTCCTACTCAAGACTAAGTACACACTAGTGCCAAGGAGATAGCTCAGTGGCATAGCGCCTGCCTGGCAAGCACAAGGTCCTGAGTTTGATCCCTGGTACAAAAAAAGACAAGAAAATAGGAGCAAAATTAATACAGAATTAGGTGAAATGATAATTGTATACCAAGACTAAGTGTGCACTAAATATCTGGCTATGTCACTGAGAAATTAAGGGGACATGGACTGTATACCAAGGACTATTTCAAGCATCTTCATCTGTGTTTCTTCTTGGAGGCTGGTATAGTAATCAAACTCAGAACTTTGTGCTTGCCATGCAGGCACTTGTGTTGCTGAGCTATAGCTCTAGCTCTCACCTATGTTTCTTATTAACTTTGATTTCCTCCCACTACTGGGGATTTAACCCAGGCCTTGTGCATGCTAGGCAAGAGCTCTGAAACTGAGCTATATTCTCCAGCCCTTGCCTTAAATTTGTTACATTACTATTACTTTAACAAAATATTGCATTTAAATGTAAGGTTTTTATTTGTTTCTTTGTGAGACAGTGTCTTGCTATGTAATTCAGGCTGGGCTTGAGCTCAATTTGTAGCCCAGGCTGGTCTTGAGCTCACAGTGATCCTTTCTCTGCCTCCCTAGTGCTGGGATTACGGGCGTGAGCCACCATGCTCGGCTAAGTGTAGTATATTCATGCAGTAGTAAGTGTAGTATTTTCATACCTTTTTAAGATATATACCATATTTTGATCATATCCACATGTTAGGGAAAATGTCTTTTTGAGTGTGGTTTATTTTGTTTAACATGATCTCTGCTCCATCCAATGTTCTATAAATGTTCTTCTTTATGGATTAAGAATACTCTATTATATATACATATACACACATCTTCTTTATCCATTCATCCATTGATGGGCAGCTCAGTCCCATACCATGGAACTTTGAGTTGTGCTTTGATGAATGAGGGTATGGAGGTTTCCTTATGCTGACTTTAATTCCCTGGGGTATGTAGCAAGGCCTGCTATAGAAGGATCATATAGCACTTCTAATTTTAGTTGTTTGGGGAACCTCATACTGATTATTTATTTATTTGTGTATGTGTGGGGCCAGCTCAGCCCACCAGGGGGCGGGGCTGGCTGGCATGTGGTGCTGGGGGATTGAACCGTGGTCCCTGTGCTTTGCTAAGCTTGTTC